TGGACATGAACAGCTCTTTTGAGTATATACCAGTGAGAGGAATTGCTACATTATAGGAGGTACACACACACACACATTTAGCGCTCGCGCGCGCGCTCTCTCTCTCTCTCTCTCTCTCTTAGCTTTAGAAGATTTAGCAGCTCAAGTTTTCCAAAGTTACTGTATCAGTTGCTTTTCTGCCAGCAGGGCATGAGCCTTTCAGTTACTCTACATTCTCATCAGCACTTGGTATTGTCAGTCATTAATTTTAGCCATTCAAGGGAATGTGTAGTAGTATCTCATTCTGGTTTTAATTTGCATTTTTCTGGGGACCAGGTCACCAGAGAGATTATTTTGTTTTCTTATACATTTTCAAGCTGCTGCCCCTGAGATCTTGATTCATTGAGTCTCCTGAGGTGGGGCCCAGACACCTAGATTTCTAAGATATCCCACAAATGATTCTGATGTTAAGGCACCTCTGGGATAAGAGTTAGATGTTTGTCACCACTTCCAAAAGGTTTATCTTCAAAGTCTCCAAGAAAGTTTTCACAGTCTGTTAAGGAGATAGTCCTGACAAAAATACGATAAAACATTTTCTGCTTGAAACACTTTAAATGTTTCTTTGATTACAAAATCATAAACATGTAATTCTGTAACATAACAATATCACCCTCAAGCACACCATGTGACATTTTTAGATGAAGTGTTTAAATTAAAACTATAAATTATTACACCCGTATTATTACCCTACCAACCACACTCAAGCAGGCTTTCCTTCTGCCGGGCCCTGTAGATTAGGCTATGATTAGAGGTCTTTAGGATTTGATTAAACAAATCGAAGAAACTGCAGGTTGCTTCACTGAAAATGGTAACTACTGCTATTTCTTGTCTGTGTCCATTTTCAAGACTTACCTTTATAAAATGTTCTTTCATGAAAAATTGTGTTCAGAAGTGAGAAGATTATTTTAGCACTAATGATAGTGGATTCTTATTTGCTAAGTTAATTAGACATAGACCTATTCAAAATGCTTCTCCTTAGAGAAAAAAAAAAAATTCTACAACTGACTTGGTAAGTCATTAATCAGTAGAAACAGAGCAACCTTGACTTATTGACTTTCATTGTGAAAGTAAAGGTAACACTTTTGCAGTAGAATCCAAAAACATACTCTGTCAGCAAATGTCCCCCATCTTCAGAGAAAAGGATCTCCTCTGGTCTCCAGAAAGGACGTGAGCAAGACCACTCTTTTATTACCACCTGGTCAGGTACAGTAAGTTACTAGTTACAACATCAGAGGACCTGTGACATGAGCTTTGAAATGCTATACCTTACCAAAAAGAAAGAATAGAGCTGCTCTCCTGGGCTTAAACTCTTGTGCCATTTGGTTAGGATAAACGTATATTATTTTCAGTGTTTAGAGGCATTACCTGGGCAGAGCAACTTCTGTGAGGGCGTTACGGTTTCAGGTAGGATAAAACTGCAGTAAGCTGGGGCCATTTGTGGACCAATTTATTATTTGCAGTTCTCCTCACATAATAATCTACTTCTCTCCACAGAAAGCTGGTTAAAGCTTTTCTTAGTGGGTGTTTATTAGTTTTCCAAGTAAAATTTGATCAGGAGTTTGCTCCCACAGCTTATTAGCCCTTTAATGGATACTAATTATACTCTTCATGCCCTCTGAATTAAGAGACAGGAAATAAAAGCGAACCCTAAACTGAGGTTTGGTTTTCAGACACTTGATCCCAGCATTACTTGGAAAGAACAGTAAGTTAGAAACCAAAGTGAGGTAAAAAGCCACAAACACGGTCCACTCAGCTACTTGTCACGTCAAAGCAGGGCAAATCGCGTTTTTTAATAAAGTAAGGTAGAGCAGAAGTTTCTTTTTCAGATCAGTTGACTAATTTTGGCTAGAAAATTTTATATTAGAGGTTATTAGGACACAATGCAGTGTTTGCATTCAAATATGCAGAGCTGAGTGTGTGATCAGATTAACATGAATAAAATAACCCCAAAGACTAAAACTTTGAAAACAGTGCATTTTCTGAGCCAAAGTGCCCTGTCCCTTTTAAAGGCCTTTGGACGTCATTTTGTTTGGAATGGTTGGGCCTGCTTTTTACAGCTGTTTGAAGGTCTTTCCTTCGGTGAGCTTGCTAGTGAACACAATAGAACTTTCTCTCTAGTTCTTGCCTCTTATAAATACAGTTGATGCTTGAACAATATGAGGACTTAGGGGTGCCAACCCCCATAGATGAAAATTCCTGCCAGAACTCAGCCATTCCTTGGTTCCTGCAGGGGATTGGTTCCAGGACCTTATACAAAAGTCCATCGTATAAAATGGTGTAGAACAATGCATATGGTCAGCCCTCCACATCTGCAGATTCCCAACCATGGATGAAAAATACTGTTTTCAATCCATGGTTGGCTGAATCCCAAGGTGTGAAATCTAGGGGGATACAGAGGGATGGCTGTATGTTTGTTGAACCCCATACAAGTAGACCCCTGTAGTTATGTTATTCAAGGATCAACTATATATATATATATATAAAGTCTTCCCATATTGTGAATAAGATTTTTTTTAAATGAGTTTTTGAATCTCAGTGCTTTTTTTTTTCCTTCAGAAAACTGAGAGAATCTTGCAGCTATAAAGAGGGTAAACACTTCATTCATAGGTGGGAGAAATGGAAGATTGAAAATGAGATGGTCCCATTGTGGTCATAAAACAAAGACTGTTGCCTGGCTGTGTGATTTTTCCCCCACTTAGGATGAAGCACTTAGTTCATTTAGCACATAGCCATCACATTTGAAAAAAAATATTAAAGGAAAGTGTATCTATAAAAACCACCACCTGGAAAAGTTATTCTAGGAGTTAACATCAAAAACTGGAGTTCATTCTGCTTTATATAGTGATGTATTTCCAGTGTTTAGTTTCCTTTTGTTTTGATCAAAATGAAAAATTGAACTGGATTATTTAATTTCACCGTGCCCCTTTGGTAGAGGAAATGAAAAATATATAAAATATACTTGTGAGTACAATCTATAGAATACAGTAACTGCTTTCTAATTTCTCTACCTTTTCTTTTTATCCTCAATGTTTATATATACACACATACACACACACACACACACACACACACACACACATATATATATAATCTTAAGCTCTTCTTTAAAGGTAAATATTTTTCATAATTCTGTTAAGTTTAACAGGTCGCAAAGATTTACTCTCAGTCACTGATTAATTTATTGCATTTTAAATCCATTTAAATAAATTTCTGTATATTTGCAACTGAATCAAAAACAGTAAAACATTTCCTAGGGTTTGTTATGTACACTATATTATAATCAACATCTGTTAGACATGATGGTTATTTATGAGTTCCCACTGAATTAATGGCAAAAAAATTCATTTTTCCATTCCCACCCTTTTCTTTTCTCGCTTTCATAAATAAGAAAAAATTAAATAACTTAATTAACACCTGGCATGAAGTGTTCGAGTTTGTTAGATTCGCTTCTGTGAAGACTTGAGACATTGCATGCAGCATAACAAAGATAAAATGTTAGAAGTTAACTCAGCTTCTGTTTACTCAGGCCAAATTCTCCACCGGAAAGAAGTTCTTAGACTTCTTAGCATCTATGAGGGCTCAGGAATTTCTTGAAGGGCGAATTTGAAACTACACCTGTAGGTGAATGGGTTGTGCAGATTTGGGAGGGCCCGTTGCTTTAATCTCCTTTAGCCTGACCCAGAAAGTGCTAGGTGAGTTTTTGCTGGGTGCCTGGAACATGATTGAATATCTATCACATATAAGGCACAGTGATGCTTAGGAGTTCAGATTCCTTTCGTTCATTTTGGGGAGCTCCAGTTAAAGATAAATTGTGATATTGAGCCATGTTTTGTGTTATACAATCTTTACAATTGGATATGAGTTCCTGTGTGTAAGAAGAAGTTATAAAATGAAATATGTAAACTTTGCTGTGGTACCTTTATGAATATTAAAGTGGAATGTGTAAAGGCCTGATCAAAAAAGCATGTGGACTTCGCTAGTATCTAGAGAAGACAGAGCTGACATGTAACTGCTCCCTGGTGAAGTAACAGGCCAGATGACCTGCATTTGATTTTACTTGGCAGAGCATATTAATATAATGAATAGACCATGAATAGAATATGAATATGTTATAGGATTAGTATTATCTAACATAAACAGACAATAAACAAATGTATTTATTCATATAGAGCATTTGTCTTTTTCTGGACTTTAGCCATTCATTTTTAACCAGACAAACAGGACCTTTATTCTGGGCCCTTAAAAATTTATTTGTGTCAGTGATTACAGTGGGATTTTATTTTTAGATTTTTTCAACTCCTTTTAAATTACAGCATTCTGCACAATTTAGCTATTTTCATGTCTTCTTAGAACATAGTTGAGTGCTGAATAAATTCCTTCTCTATGGGCTGACCCTTCTGTATGAAGACCCTACAGAAATCCAGTAAATGATGAATAAGATGATGAGCTGAGGGAGGAGGTGAAGCCTTAAAGAAAAGCTGAATCCCACAGTTAGCATTGTGTCCCCCTAGACTGCAGAGAAGTAGGGCGAACAGCCAAATAAAAGGGGGTCAGGAGCTGGCCTGGGACCTGCAGGCACTACATGTCACCTTGGAAGGTTGGCTTAGCTTAGAAAGCCCTTTAATATCATGGAGAAAAAAATAGGCCTTTTGTGCTAAGATTGTAGAACATCTTCCCTTCAGGGCCCTAAAACTGAAGACTATTCAAGGCAAGGTTCACCATGGCTTTTTTAGAACCTCTGGAAGAAGGACCACTCGTCTTCAGAGCTCTTCGACACAAACCAGTTATTTTCTGTATAAATGTTGCCATTTAGGTTATATTTGTTTTAACTGACATGATCATGGGTTAGCCTGTTCCCATGGGTTTAAACGGTTTATCTCCAAACATTTGAGTGGCTCTGCTTACTAAGGAAAAATTCTTAAAACGGGATAGAGAATGATGGTGCTACTTTGGTGTCGCAGATCCTGTGAAGCCCCCTGCCAACTCCTTACATGCACCAGCGGATTTGCCTTCAGCTGTAATTACATCCCCACCGTCTGCCCAGGTGGACTCATCCCCTGCTGCCCAGCCTCCTCCGTATCAGCTCATTAACCTTCCGCCACATCTGGAAACTCTTGGCATCCAGGAGGATCCTCAAGACTACCTCCTGCTAATCAACTGTCAAAGCAAGAAGCCTGAGCCCACCAGGTAAACCACACGTGCCCATTTGTGTGCGTGCGTGCGTCTGTGTGCGTATGTGTGCACGCATTGAGGAATCTTACCTTGATACTTTCCAAACCTTGACTTTGAAGGGTTAAAAGAAATCACCTCTGTAGGCTTATATTTTATGTGTATGTCTTGAGTTTATAGTCCTCCACTAATGATTTCTGATATTCACGAGATTTTATTGAAGAAACACCTTCTCTAGCGCTTGGCAAGGAATACTTTTACCAAAAGCTCTTTTGGGAACCTGTCTTCTGTTTCATAGTCTTTGTTACAGACTCACAGTATTACTTGCTTAACAGATTTCACTGATTTATAAATGGTGATCTTGCTCCATTTCTTATGTGATTGTAAACCAGCCAAGGGTCATCTTTTGTTTCTGAAGAAGGAGAGGAATACCTACTACTAGAAGATTTTGAAAGCAAAACGATTCCATTGCAGTGAGTGTGTTGTGGTTGCTTTGGATCTGTGTGAGAAATTAATCATACAGGTAAAATCCCAATATAGCAAAATCTATGGAAATTACAAATTGAGCTTAAGTGAAATTTGATAAAATCAAATATACTGCTAAAAGCTATGAAATTTGATTCTTCATGCCTACCAATGAAGCCGATCTTACCCAAGCCTTAACTTTACAAATTTTTAAGTGGAAAGAATAATATGGATTTTGGTGCTTGATCAAAGGTATCATAAAGCCTTTCCCAAGACCTGGTTTCCTTTTCATCTCCATCTCTGCTCCAAGACTCCTCTCTTCTTCTAAGCTATAAGATATTTCAATTTGATACTGAATCATCAGATGACTTGAGGTAATGGTAAGTGTTGGAGCTGAAAAATAAGGATCAGGAGGCCTGTCTCTACCTTTAACAGCTATGATAACTAATGATATTGGGTAAATTTATTATCTTAATTTGTAGTATAAACATGGGGGTGAAAGGGGGTAGATGTGAATGATTTCTAAACAGAGCTAAGACTCTTTCATGTACAAAGTGACTGTTACTAGGCTAGGAATATGCAAAGCACTTGTTTCAAAAATTTTGTGTAGAAATTTTGTGTAGAATCTTAACAATAAGATTCCCAGATTAGTCTCTCTGACCTATTTCCTGACATAATGGAAACAAATATGCCAAAGATGGATTTCTACACATTTGTTCTAATGGGATTTTACCTGTAAGAGCAAAAAAAAAAATTTATAAATCAACACTAGTTAATAATACCAAATTCTAACTTGATTTTGCTTGTTTGCCGTGAGTATTTAAAATTACACACTCGCAACTTTGTTACCTATGCTACTAACTAAAATTTTATTTTACAGAGAGTCACCAATTATTCTTCAATATCAGCTTTTTAAAAGCCAACAAAGAGCTAAGGGACAATTTTCAGGACATTTTCTTTTTTTCGTTTTATGCAATGTCTTTCGTTAAACCCACTTGTTATCACAACTTCCCTTTTGTAGTACAAGTTATGCTCATATACATTTTGCATCTACTTTTTTGCAAAAGTGACAGTTAACAAATATTTATGATGTGCCCACTATTTTGCTAGGTGCTGTTAGGAAGGTACAAACTAATGATGTAAGTCACAGCCTCCTCAGGTGCAGTCACCTGCCCAGTTCCCAAGTAAACCTTGTGAGGAAGCCAGGACACCTGAGCACTGAGTGTTTATAGATGGAGGTGCAGCATGAGCGCTGCCTGCAAACCCTTGTTCAGCCTTGCAAGCCTCAGCTCAGGCATCATCCGTAGGAAGCATTTTCCCGAATTCCCAGGCTGGGTTAAATGCCCTTCTGGCTTTTCATAGCCTCTTGGTTGCACCTCCATATCTCTGTTTTATCACACAATTGGAAATAATTGATATTTGTATTCATTCTCCATTACACTACAGGCTAGTGAGAGGCAGTAAGTTTATTGCTTATTGTACTTCTTGCATTCTATAGCTCCCATGTGGGAATTCAGTGCCAGAGCACATTTTAGAATATGTTAGATCTGTTGGAAATGCCTGCACTGGGAGGAGCAGAATTTGAACTATACCTGATTGGTGAGAGAAAAGGAGATTGTCATTAGTAATTTGCATAAAAATACTTGAGGGGGAAAAGGCGTGAGCATGAGAGTGAGGGGTAGAAGTGTGAGGAGGAGGTCTGCTTGGAGTCAAGGGCTCCCTGTGGGGAATAGTAGGTCACAAGATAAGGAAATAAAAGGCGGAGCCAGCTTATTAGTAGCCTCAGCACCAAGGAGAATAGTCTGTGGGCTTTTTGGAGTTCCCACAACCTGTATGGACCCTAAACAGGATTTTCTCTGAGTAGGTGACTGATAAGAAAACCATGTTTTGAAAATACTGACTTTTTAAAGATTTTTTTTTGTTGTTGTTTATTTTTAGAGAGAGGGAAAGGGAGGGCAGAGCAGAGGGAAAGAAACATCAATGTGTGGTTGCCTCTTGCATGCCCCTAGCTGGGGACCCGGCCCACAAGCCAGGCATGTGCCCTGACTGGGAATTGAACCAGTGACCCTTTGGTTACACGCCAATGCTCAATCCACTGAGCCACACCAGCCAGGGCTGAAAATATTGATCTTACCGCAGCACAGTAGTATGATTCTATGCCTACTGGAAGAAAAAGGAACTAGAAGAAAGAAGTGCACTTAGGAGCGTTCAGTGATGTTGTACTTAGCAGAGACACGGACCTGACCTGGGTTGGTGACAGTGGAAATGAGCAGGGGACAAACACTTGTTAGGAAGAAAGATTTGTGCCTAAGTGATGGTGGAGGCCAAAGAGAATGATTCAAAGCTGGTTGGGTTTTGAGCGTAGAGAACCTGAATGAGGACATTTCTTTCCGTGACGCGTTGGCAAGGGCAGTCAATTGGAGAAGCAGGTCGGGTTGGGTTTGGTGCATGTGAGCAAGGTGTTACTGGGATAACCAAGCAGAAATACATTGGTACAGCTGGAAAATAGGGGACCCAGAGTGTAGTGAGGAGACAGGAATTGTCAGCTTTCTGTGGAAGGTGACGGTATGAGACAGGAGGGCTTTTTAAAGGTGTGTATGATCAAGACTGAGAGGACTATTCTGTCAGCCATTCCCAGGTGGAGAGACAGGAAGAAAGAGCCAGTCAGCGAACAAGGGAGTAATCAGTGAGGAACGAGGAAGATTGGGGTATCGCAATATGGGTCCTTAATAACAGTGAGGAGAGATTCAGTGAGTAAGTGGAATACACAGAGTCAGATCCTACTAAGAGACCAGGGAAGATAAACCCTTAAAAAACTACCACAAGTTTACTTATTATCAGTACATTTAAGTTCCTGCAGGGCTTCATTTTGCCTTATACCCAAATGTTGTGATTTTATTAAAGGCAGAGACTGGAAATGTACCCAAAGCATAAAAAGTACTCTAACGAGATGCCTCAAGGTTAATTACAGTTTGGAACTGGCTCACTCTGTGGCTTGTATCTTGATCCTCATCACAGTATCGGCTAAATGCTTGTTAAAGAAAATCAGTAGAAAGGAAGGTGCATTAAACTTTTTTAAGTTGCCACCTCCTTGTAGATCACATTGAATTTATTCAGTACCGTGTAATCATTAGACTTCCAGGCTTACAGAACAACGGAGTTGCCACAGGTTAAGAGCCGTGGGTCACCTTGATAAATTGCGTTGGCACCAGGCTTTTGCATGTTTTTCAGAGGAAATGCTTTTCCTTGTGTCTGTGCCTTAATCATTTACCTTTCTGGGAGTTTTCTACCTTTCTAATTCCAGTACTTCAGGGATTGTGGTTTCCATGTGTGGATTTACTAGGTGGAGTTGGGGGTGTGGGCTGGTCCAGAACAGAAATTGGAGAGGCCGCTTGTGGTGGTTTTGTGGTGGCAGTTTGGTTGTCTGGTGTATACTCATAAAAAGTGAGCAGTATTCGTACTTTAAATCTTGTGGATCACACCAAAAAAAAAAAAAAAGTAATGAAAAAAGCCATGGATTTTGATTGCTAAGTTCTAAACATGTATATTAAAATGTAGTCCCATGTCTTCACTGCTTTATTTTCTGTCATTAACAATTTTTATTTAGAGCACATGCTGATTCTGCAAAATCCACCTCTTCTGAAACAGACTGCAATGATAACGTCCCTTCTCACAAAAACCCCGCTTCCTCCCAGACCAAACACGGAGTGAATGGCTTCTTCCAGCAGCAAAGCATGTACGACTCCCCGCCGCCGCGCGCTGCCTCCGTTTCCGTAGACTCCAGCCTGTATCACCTGCCCAGGAGCTATTCCCACGATGTTTTACCAAAGGTGTCTCCGTCGAGTACGGAAGCGGATGGCGAACTCTATGTTTTTAATACCCCATCTGGGACATCAAGTCTAGAGACTCAGCTGAGGCACGTGTCTATTAGTTACGACATTCCTTCAACCCCTGGTAATACTTACCAGATTCCACGAACGTTTCCGGAAGGAACCCTGGGACAGACGTCAAAGCTGGACCCCATTCCCGATGTTCCTCCACCCCGGCCACCAAAACCACACCCGGCTCACGACCGATCGCCGGTGGAAACGTGCGGCGCCCCGCGCGCAGCCTCGGACCCCGACAGCAGCTACTGCATTCCCATGGCGGGGGTGCCTCCCTCCCGCAGCAACACCATCTCCACCGTGGATCTGAACAAGCTGCGGAAAGGTCAGCGCTCCTTGCGTCCTCTCTGCTAGGGGTTCATGAACGCGTGCCTGTGTGCGGGGTCTGCTGGGAGGGAGGAGGACCTGGAGTTTTCCATCCCTGAAGAAGTCGGCCTTAGGAGTTCCTTCCTGCCTCGGGATGCGCGCGCCCCTCTCTCCCACTTTCCATAAATGCTGGGGGCATAGACCCTCTGATGGGGCGGAGGAGCAGGAAATAGGCCAGCCCCCCAGCACCTGCCACTCATACCCTCTCCTGTATATCTGTGCCCTTAACAGTCACTTCTGTGTGTCACATATATTGGGCTCCACTTCCTTCCTTCCTATCTAGATAAGCAATTTTTACATTGTGTCTAACAGGTCGCGCTCAGTTCCAGTTAAGCCACTCTGATTTTTGTTCGGTGTTACTTATTTTTGGAGTGCCAAATCCTCTTTCCCATTATGCCTTGTTACAGACCTCGGGAGGAGAAAAATTGAGTCTGGGTTATACCCCGAGATTCTTCCAGTCCGAAAAATGAAAGCCTAAGTGTGAAAGGCACATCCCCTAAACACCGTGTGCTCACATAGTTGTAGTGTGTCGCCTTAAAGGGGATAAAGGGTTAATGCACTGCAGAGAGTACTTACTTCAGTGCTTGTTTAGTCACCCAGTACCAATTTCTAACTCCCTTCTTGAAGTGCGTAATCTGAGTACAAGTCAGTGAGATAAAAGTTAGGCCCCAGGTGGTGCAAAAGATAAGAAAATAAGAAATATGTCTTTCTTCATTTTTAGATAACCCATCTCATCCCAGAGTTAGGCAGTCACTCACTGCCATAATCAAATAGTAGTAGGATTAGCATATGAGCGAGTGGCTGCATTTTCTAGTGCTTTAACGTCCCAGTTCAGTGTCCTTTGTTAAAATCTACGTGCACGTGTTCCTGCATGTGCGTGTGTTTAAAGAGAGAGAAAAAGAATAGATCGTTCCTGATTACCCTGAGAACGGGCAAATGTGGGAAGAAATGTTGATAGTTTGTTCTTTATTTTAGATGCTAGTTCTCAAGACTGCTATGATATTCCACGAACATTTCCAAGTGATAGATCTAGTTCACTTGAAGGCTTCCATAACCACTTTGTAAGTATAATTGACCTTGGTGTAATTGAGTGTATATTTCATTGTCAAAAATCTCCACTCTTAGTTCCCTGAGACTAAATGAGATCATGAAGTGCAAGCCCCTTCCGATCCATATGAATAGGTGTGTCTTAGAGTTATGTTTTCTTGTGCGACAACAGTTTTTGTTTATTAAAAGAAATGTATGTGTGTTTTAGAAAATCAAAAATGTGTTGACAGTGGGAAGTGTATCAAGTGAAGAGTTGGATGAAAACTATGTCCCGATGAATCCCAATTCTCCGCCACGGCAACATTCCAGCAGTTTTACAGAACCAATTCAGGAAGCAAACTACGTGCCAATGACTCCGGGGACATTTGATTTCTCTTCATTTGGAATGCAAGTGCCTCCTCCTGCTCATATGGGCTTCCGGTCCAGCCCAAAGACCCCCCCCAGAAGGCCCGTACCTGTTGCAGACTGTGAACCACCCCCCGTGGATAGGAACCTCAAGCCGGACAGAAAAGGTAAGGAGGGAACAACTTAGGAAAGGGTCAGGGTTCCCTGTCTGCTTTAAGTCATTAAACTCAAGAGCAGCATTGGGACCAGAAATTCTGAACTGTTTCATAGGACCTTAGTTATTAGCTTGTTTAGCGGTGTTGCTGTTGATAGATTAATAATTACTGTATCATCTGGTGATGCCCAGGAGAGAGTTTTAAAGCTCCTGTCTCTCGGGCAGAGGTTCCAAACTAAAACACTGGCAACGATTGGCAGGGAACAGGAGGGAGTTAGAGAAACTCGAGAGTCCTGATTGGAGAACCTCCCTGCTCCCTGGCTACAACCGTGTGCTGGCTTGAGGAAATAGTACAGACTGATACATGCAAATCTTCTGATGTATCAAGAGAAGCCAGAAATTTTGGATTTGATGTGTATCTTTGTTTGACTTTTAAGTTCTACCAGCTAATATAGTTATTTTCAAAGAAAGAGACTTTGCAGACCAAACCAAAGTGCATAGTATCAAAGCAGACTAGAGATGCACCTGGCCGTGAGCTCGCTTATATAATCTTTCCATGCTGTTTGTATAACAACTTCTTTAAAATTATCCTTCCTTTACTGGGGTGTATTTAGTCTGTTCTTTCACACTGGCCTTCATAAGTAACACTAAGTTCTCGAGTAGCGTGGTTTGTTAAGAACTCAGTGTAAAGGGAATTTTTCAGCCAAATTGGTGACACGTACCCAAGTGTTTAAAGTTTGGGTTTGAGTGGTTAAAACCCAGGCCGCTGGCTGTGTTGCAGCATGCTGTTGGTGCGACTTCACCTGGACCGCCAAGTAAGGGAGCATGTCGGCTATGTGATGAGTGGCACAATGTCTTGGGCACTTGGCACATGTGAAAAGTGTCATGTGCTGTATGTAGCTTTTCAAGAGCATGTAACGTCTGTGTAAGTTTCTCCTTAACCTGGGCTTAGATCATTAATATTAATTCTAAGTAAGTACCAGTTGTGGGGAAGAGAGACAGACTCAAGAGCATCTTAATGAGTTTTGTTTTGTTTGGCCGTAAGTAGGCTACACCTGTGCCGCAGTGAGACAGTGGTTGGGAACCGAGGCGCTCCTAGGGGACTGTCGCTTCATCCTGCTCTCTGCATGTCTGTCCTGGGGGAGGTCTTTGCATCCTCTTTGTTCTCTCCGACAGTTTTTCCTTCTTTTTTCTTCCACTCTGTATCCTCTACATGGTTTTCTGTTTCCCCAGAGCCTTGGCCTGCGACGCCCCTCTGTGGCCCGAGTCTGCGTAGGGGCTGCTTTTTCCCTGCCTTTGCCGCTCCCGTGGCTGCTAAGTGCCTCCTTCATTACTTACTCACTTGAGGTTGCTCAGAGAGAATCTGCTTGGTCTCATTTGTCTTTTCACACCAAACCACGTGATAGATTGTACACCAGGCTGTAGCTCGGCTGCTGTTGGGTCAGAGATGGGTCAAGTGCCCATCTTTGGTCCAGCAGCTGGAAACATGGTCGTGTGTCATATCCTCGGCCACCCAGATGCCCCCAGAAGCAGGGCCATAATCGGGATGGTTCTCTTGGAAAGGGCGTGAGCCATCTCCGGCTTTTAATTTAATAACTTTTCCTTCTGTTACTGTTTGTCCTCATTTGTCTTTAAGCCTGGTAACACATTATCCGGTCCTTTCCTTCTGTGCTTACAGTATGCGAAAGTATGTTAGGACACACGTGCACGTATCCCTGAGCTCACAGGTTGCTGAAGGATTGAGATATGAGTGTCCCGAGCTCTTTGAAATACTGAAATAGTCATTTTAATGCTAAACTGGTTCTTCACTTGTTTTCTAGAATTAGTGCGTGTTAGCAGCAGAGCTGCTCTTCTTAACCCCAAACACAACAGTTTTACATCCCGAGGTCCCCCATGAAGGCGGAGGTGGTATGGATTGGGGGAGGGCACAGGCTCGAGGGCTACCTGTTTCGTCCCCCGCCCCCCCCTTCCTCCGCTTGGGCTGTGCAGAACAGTTTGAAAATTCCCTGTAGACTTCACAGTTAATGATTCTATGTGAGAAACATAACACAGAATAAAAAAAAAAATCCTTATTTATATGTAGAAAAGTTTTAAAATCATGATGATTTGCTTTTTAGTATTGTCTAGGTCTGTTAGAGCTCATGTTCCCCATAATATAATATATATCATCATAATATGGCATGTATACTATACATGATATATATTACATATATTGCATATTTGTATAATTATACCTCCCTATGTGTATAGTGAAAGGACTATAGATTTTACTACATGACAGTAATTGTCCTAGTCCTCTAGCCACCCTGAAGTGACTTCACTCTAGAACGGGACAAAGTAGATTCTTGGTTACTTTTGGAGATTATGTTTAGTGTTTTTTTAAAAAGTAACTGAACTGTCAAGAGAGAGCCCTGAGTTCATGGGCCAGATTGTTTATTTGGTATCTTTTCTTAGATACAGAATGAACCAAGACAGCACCCAGAATAAGTACTCACATAGTTTTTGGCAAAATCAAGGAGCATGGGATTAGCAAAACAGGAAGAAGGTTACTAAAATCATAGTAATAAAGAAAATGTTTTTGCATTTCTTTAGTACTATCCTGCTGTTTTCAATAAATATGATACAAGACAGGGTACATGAGAAGGTATTTAACGTTGGAGGGCAAACCTTGTCAACCCACCTTAGAAAGTTGTAATTATTCAAGAAAAACACATTTTAAACCCCAAATTCAGATCTTGGAGCAAAGTTTATTCTTCAAAACTTAAACTGTCAAAGAAATGTCTTATTTAATCACAAAATTCTCCTCATTATGTATAGCCTAAGTCTGCTGTAAATTTCTGATTTTGTGACATCAGACACAGGACTCAATCTATTATTCTAGTATCTTATTAACTAACCCCAATAATAAGCAATCCTAATTCTATCAAGTATGGCTTGATTAGTTTCAGAGCCTGGTATAACTAGTTCAACATGCAATATAGCCAGTTTCTGGAGTGTCTTCTTTGGAACAGTCTACATTAAATGAGTGACATTCTAGTCTTGTTTATACCCCCAATTATAGATGTCAGCTGCTGTAGTTAGTGGTACAGATGAGTTTTTCAAATACTTCTGAGTAATTTAAGCTGCAGAAATACATAGATGTTCTAAACCCCTAAGTTTAATGTAGTTTCACAGATCCTTTGCCCACCGCCTCCCTGTGGCAGCTACATTTTCACTCATACCATTTCTGTCATGATAGTATTGTTTTGAACCAAGTTTTGTGTATTTACTAGAGGGGAAGAACATTAATTTTCATGTGTTGTATTAAATACTAGGAAAGCAGATGAGTCATTGGAAATGCAGTACAAATTATGTTCTGATTGTTTTCATGGAAACTTTTATATTTTGATGGAAAAGCAATTTGTAAAGTTTGAGAAATTCCTATGCAGTATCCATCGCAGCTTCTCTTACAGTCAATCTTTATAAAAATCTACCGTATTTAATCACTGTACTCACCTAGGACCCCCGTCCCCCATCAGCCTCCTTCTAACATGATGGAGCAGCTGTTTGGGCTTCCAGTGCTTTCTAGTTTGCTTTAGTTGGCTTTGTCCATTCATGGCTTTCTGCAGTAGCTCTGGCCATTAATTATGGTGCTGATTTTTAAAAAGCAGCACAAGGTTACTCCTGGTGTTTGGTACATGAGTTTGGTTAAAGCAGCGTCTGGCCTGGGCCTTCCCTTTGGTGTGGGAAGCATCAAGAAGACCATCCGTGAGGAGCTGCCCTGCATGGGTCTTTTCTGGGCACAGTGTGATGTATTTGCTGTAAACATTTTTTTTCAAGACATCTTCTAAAGAATTTTTTGACTGTAATTAAAAATTAACATGCTTTCTCAAAGCAGCTTTTATCCTATGATAAATGTGTGGAAGATGGATGAGTGACACCAGTAAAAATAACTAAATTTTAATAGACAAGCATTAAAGTTTGAATTCCCATCGGATTCTTGTTTGGTGTCACAGTTTAAAGGAAGTGAGTTTGGAATGCATTTTTACAGCATAGCCTTTACCTGTGGATTTTTCTCCCCTAAATATTCTTGACCTTCCAATGTAATTATCATTACTATATTCTTCTCTCTACAATGAGACCATTCAAACAAGTGTGAAAGTTTTCATTATGCTACCTTGATTACTTCTTGGAATTAGCAGAGGATAATAATGTGAATTATTTTTCTTCTCTCTCGAATTTTGAAATGCCTCCTGGGAGTAGCATAACCTGTAAAACTTCAGAAGAGTATAAATAATTCCTCTTTGAGTTGAATGTAGGCATATGTAGGCAGTGCCTATTAAAATAATCCTCCATAGTGTATGGACTTGGCAAAAAAAAAAAATTGCATCTGCGTTTTTGAAACAACCTTGAGTGACTGCCTTGACCTTGTTTGGGGATGACCAACTTTTAAAACAACATTCACTCACTTTTTTTCCTCCTAAAGGACCAAAAAAAAAAAAAATTATGACATTGATCAGATTATATATACACCACCAGCTTTATATATATAGTAGATTTGTCTGTCAACTCTAGGATACGCCCTCTGCTAGGTCTTGGGTTTTTAAACCCAGGGAAGAAAAGATGGCTTCCCTGAAGAAGCTCAGTCCAGTGGAGGAGCTAGAAAAGTAAACACATTATCATAATTAGCACGAAAGGGGCTGCGGTTGAGGTAAGCTCTTGGCAGGACTAGCTAAGCTCCCTGAGGAAAGTCTGAGTGGGTGAGTGGCAATTAAGTAACGGTAGAGGAGGGGAGGGTGGCGGAGGATCTTCTAGTCTGAACAAACAACATACCCAGACCCTTCAGAAGGAGGGGAGATGGGGCCGGTGCGGTCGTGGGTGGCAGGGAGCGAGGGAGGGAGGAAAGTATGAATGGGGGAACCCATGCCAAATGCCTTGCAGGTGCCCAAGGCTGAGTGTTATGATCCTCGCTAATGAGTTTGGGCCTTAATCTGAATGCACCATTAAAGAGTTTTATGCAGGCAAGTAATAGAATCAGGTTGGCCTCTAGAAAGGAAAGCTCATTCTAAGATTTAACAATACGATAGAAACAAATTATATTTTTAACGTAAAATGATATAAAATCATACCTTTCCCAGCGTCTTTCTCAGAGAGTGCATTGCCCTGTTTTCTCAATCCAGGGCTCTTGAAGCCTTGGTTTAGAAACGATCAAATGAGAAAGGCAATAACCACAGGCCCTTCTTGGCTCTCAGTTGCTCCCTCAACGTGGGGACTTACAGTGACTTTTAAAGCTTTAAGGGCACTTGGAGTGTGGGTGAAGGCCATTTAGCCATGCAGTGTGAGTTCCTCACTCCCAGGAAAGCCAGGTAAGTGAAGTAAGCGCACATTAATCAAGGAAGGCAGGAGTTCCGACTTGCAGATTTTTAAAAATTCTTGGGTGAATGAAAACAAACTGTTACATTGTCATTATAAATAAAAAGGAAAATTGATATAGAGAGGTTAGAGAGAAAGTGGAATCTAGGTGACTCCCTAGAGATCAGCTCTGGGACCTGGAAGCACAGGAAACAAGGCAGGTTTGTGGCGAGCCCAGGGGATAAATTCCGTTCCGCACACGTGGTGTGAAGCCTGCAGAACGCCTGTGGGAAGCTTCGCAGAGACCTGGACTAGGACCCAGGGAAAGATCTAAACCAGAGATTGACATTTACCAAACTGTACTCTACAGAACGGAACAACCACAGGATCCAGAGATTGACAGCCTCTCTGAGATGGTTTTAAGCCATTAAAGGTTAAAGCACAATAGGAATTTCACCAGTAGTCTGAGCTTTTTGCTAACTGAAAAAAATAAATGTTGCATCCTTTGTTCCAACCTAAGTCTCGCTAAAGCCAACTTGTAACTGCCTTGGATTTAAAAAGTTGAGGCTCAAGTGAGTCCCTGTGTTTACGCTGAGAATTTGGGAATCCATGTATCTTCAGATTGGTTCATTTTTACCGGTACTTTAGAATTCTTCTTACTCTTTGTTTTCACATTTTTCTTCAAGGATCTGCCTACAGGCAGTAGAGGAGAAGACAGGGCTAAGGCAGGCATATTTATACCTTGGGCTTCTTTTTCTTTCCCTCCCAATAAGTAACATGGAGCTATCGTTCGGGCATAACTTTTATTTCTGTCTGGAACACAAATGTCGGATTGAGTTTGAAAGGACATAGAGAAATAAAGCTAACAAAATGTCTGAGTGACACAGCATAATTCAGCGTGGCATATCCCACGTGGTGACTTTTATCCTAAAATCAACCTTACGCTTTGGAAGGAGTAGAATATACCTGCAGATTTTATAAATGCACTTTAAAAATATCACTCACTACAGTGCTGTCCTATTTAAAAAGCCAGGGGGACCCTTGAGAATATTTGAGAGATGGCACTGGCTTTGAGGGAGACGATAACCCCAGTGCCAAGGGTTGGAAGGGGAGTGGAGGTGGCCTGTCGACAACTGAAGCGTGGAACTAGGTCACAGCCAGGTAGAATTAGCAGTCACGTGCCCTTGATTATTTAACCACAGATATAGGTAAGATACCGCGGGCGAAAGCTGAGAACTGTAAAGAATGACTGCTGGTAGATAAACCACAATGAAAAATCAGGAGGAAGCCGAGAGCTAATGGAGGTGGGTCTTTCAGAAAAGGAAGAGGGGCCCAGAGCACACTGAGTGAGCACCAGCAAACCAGAAGTATTTGTTCTAAAAGCAATCTGTGATTTTCCAACATTGCCTCACTCACACAGCCACCGTCTGTGGCCTTCAAGTCGATGTAAGATCTCAGACAACTGAGGAATTCAGAGCTGAACTCCAAACGCTGGTTTTCTAAGAGATTGTATTTCCCAAAGACATGGAGAGGTACAGCAAGGTGGGGTGGTTCCGGAGCCTGGCGCCCGCAGGCAGGAGGCTAGGGGAGGCCTCGATTCAGTCGCTTAACCTCTTTTCGTTCTCCAGTGTATCTCAGCCATAAAATGAAGCTGGATTTGGTCTGTGAGGGCCTTTACGCTCTGGAATAAATGCATTTTTCTATGGAAAAGCTTACCTTCTGCCTCTTTCTTGTTTTTGAAGGGAAGTACATTATTTTGGAGGTCTGTAAAAGGCTGATGTGCCCCTTTGTTTTAGAAAAGTACCCTGCCAGCACGCGCCCTGGGTAGGTCAGTGATAGGGATAGGATCGTGGCTCAGAATTTTAGCACTTACATCTTAAAGTAGGCCAGCCTCATTTCTGAATTAACTCAATGTATGAATCGCCTCACTTAGAAAATTGGTTAATTCGAGAATTTTCCTGTTTTATAATCTAGGTAATCACATTTTAAGAAATTTTTAGATTTTGGTAGATAAGCTGCTAGAAATTAGCGAATCCTTATTTTGCCAACTAACAGATGTCAACTCAGCTTTATAAATGCCACGAGAAAAGAAAATTTGGTTTCGTTGAGAGTAGAGTAGCTTGAATAATTTCTTCAAATAATACTGCCCTGCAGGCATCCGGGCTCCCTGCGGTGATAAAGCATGAGGCCAGCTGGTGGGTGTTAACTTGCCCTTTTTGTCAGGGTTTTCACCGGTATTTGTAGGTGCCACAAATTAAATGAAAAGAAAATGATGGCCAATGAATTTATGCCTTCAAATCCTTTCATTGAAGCTAGACAGTCAGCAGTTCCAGAATCTAGATATCCGATCCTTGCAAAATGATGTCACCAGACAGCCCCTGAGTATCCAGGGGAAACAAATGTTGGTCTTGGATTAGCAAACATTGTAGCTTCCACCTGCTTCTCTAGAAGGGGTTTGGTCAGAAGGGGGAGGAATAGTCAAGCCAGATTGAAGTTTTTAAAATGCCTCCACCAAATTAAGAGAGCACTGTTAAGAAAGGAAGTAGGCCTAGATACTTTCTTATGAGACTTTAAAGAAAAGATGTACTTGAGATCTGACTGAGAGATTTAACTCTTTTTTTATTTGACCCAGTTTTCTAAGGCATGTTAGAAGAACTAGCATGGTACATGTTTTTCCTCCTTCCCACAAATAAAAATAAGAACTGACCGGGCCATGAAAACCCTACCATCTTTTATAACACTTGGCTTATTACATTGTTGCATGCAGCTCTTTCCTTTCCAGTGTACTGAGCAGAAATGATAGGTAGCAAGACTCAAATAGTCTTCACAAACAAGCTTGTGTTTATGCTTTTGAGATGTAACATTTCTGCGAGGGGCTCTGTTGCTTTTTGACAGGATCCATTTTTTCCAGTTAAAAAATAACATATTAAGAGAGTCTTCTTTTTACCAATTAGGTCAAAGTCCTAAAATTTTAAGACCCAAACCCCATGGTTTAGAGCGAACTGATTCACAAACCATACGTGACTTTGCTACAAGAAGAAAGGGTATGTACTTTAGCACCGCATGCTGGATGGGGCGTTGGGACTTTACTTATTTGGTGATTTTTTTTCATTTAAAAGTAAGGAAGAGCCTTAAATCCAACTGCTGTTGTAAATAAAGCTTTCCAGCACATTATTTGTAAAGTGAATGCTTCCCATAATACACAATGAGGCTCCTTGTTATGCCATTAACAGCAGCTTGTTAAAGATTTGATAATATGTGATATTCAGTCTTGTCCTTTTGCATTCTTTTAACCCTTTAGATATCATTTAAAACTTGTTCATTTTAAACTTGTGACCTGCTTTCTGAATGCCAGTTGTCTCCTGTGTTTATATATAATGTATGTTTTCTGAGATAGAATACAGACTCATTTCCATGGATTAATTGTTTTATGCCATGACTTAGAATTTGACAGGTAGACTGCTATTAACCTTTGGGTTTCAAAAAAGTTACATATCACATTTTACATTTCAAAAAATGTAAAAGTTAAAGAAATACTTTCAGTCAGCACAGTATTCTGTGCATGTCTGTGGTAAGTGTATAGACGAGCAAAATTAACTTGAACTTAACATAAGTCCTCAGAAAATCACATCGAACTCTTGTATTCGAGTTGATGAAAATACTTCCTTATAAGCTCCAGTGAATCTGCCTAGCCTTTAAAAATAACCACCGATTTTATAGTTTGGTGGTAATTGTAATGTAGTTGGTTAATAGTACATATATATGGACAAAGAGTAGAAGGAAACCTGGAAAAATGAACATTTTTTTCTTTAGAATGGCAGGATGAAAGGTAACTAAAATACCTAGTGTGTTTAAATGGCTTCCTCAAATATTAATAACTAATATTAACAAGTAATATTGTGTTTTTTTTGCTCATTTCGTTAATTTCTGAAAAAATGTTTCAGCGGATGTGAAGGGTGAGAGCTCTGTGGGATGTAGCAGCATAGTTAATTGCCTGCCGCAGTAATGAGGTCAATAAGCAAGGACCACTTCTTAGTAAAACTACTAAGAACATTATCATTTATTTATTTTTATTTAGTTTGGTAAAGGATATTGTTTGTTAAATCAAGCTAAAAATTCGAGGTAATTGTTTAATTATGGCCTTTTCGCAGAGCTGAGTTTGAATCCAAAGACAAAATTGTTGCTTTGTGCTATTTGTTTCCAGACTGGGCATGGGTTAATTTTGAAGATTTGGTCATTAATTTTTTTTGTTTTTGGGTTTTAGCGAAGTTTTGTATTTAATACATTTTATACATTATTTTATATGTATAGTTGCATAACTGAAGCTTCAGTATTGAAGAATCAGAATGTTTTAGCATAGACTAAATCTTCAGAGTTAAAATTAGGTAAAAATGAATAAGGAAATCATGAAAGGTGTAAATCAAGTAACTGTAAAGGAATTGCAGCACATTACTCTCACTTGTTCTCATTTAGTTTCTCTTCATAAAATACTTAAATTAGGAAGCACCATGTTGTAATAGAGCTTTAGGCTTTTAGTCAACAATCATGAAACATTATCTGCTTAATTTTGTCACTAATTGTTCAGCTGTGGGACCTTGGGCAAACCACGTAACATCCACGATCCTTGTTTCATCTGTGAAACTAGCTGGTCTTAGGAGTACTCTGGCTGTAACATAAATAGAGATGTAGGGAGAGGGTCTGGTTTTGTTTTCCAAATTTCTGCATACTAAAATCTCTTTTTCTCCCTTTTATTTCAGCCAAACCAGCACCTTTAGAAATAAAACCTTTGCCAGAATGGGAAGAATTACAAGCCCCAGTTAGATCTCCCATCACTAGGAGTTTTGCTCGAGAGTAAGTCCTTGTTTAAAATACATAGCTTGGTGGTTCATTAGAATGGAAAATACCTAGAACAGCGGTCTCCAAAGGATGGTGTGGGAACCTCCCTTTAGGGGGTTCCGTGAAGTCAAAACTGTTGGCATTACGATACTAAGATGTCATTTGCCTTTCCCACTCTTCTCTCATGAGTGTACCCTGGAGTTTTCCAGAGGCTACACACTATTGGGTGACACTGTGTGACGCCTGATAGAATGTGTATTGTGTATTCTTATGTTTAAAAAATTTTTTCTGCTGTTTGTAATATGGTAAATACCAATAGACATGACCCACATAAACCAAAGTTCCTTGGAGTTCTCCATAGTTTTTAAGACTGTAAAGGATTCGTGAGACCAGAAATTTTTAAGAACTACTGATCTGGAAAATATCATCATTTCTTGTGGGAATTATTTAATTAAGATTTATTCAAGTCTATATAGGGAAATGAATATGTGAAGTTACAAATGTGTGTTGAATATATATTCATGTTTTATGTATCCATATAGTTATTTTCAATAAGAAATCTTAAATCTTTTTATATCTGAAACTTTCTACTTATCCTCCAAATCACTAGCAGTATTTTCTCTCTGTCCATGCAGGTAATTTGATGCCCAAAAATATACGTTTGCAATATAGCTTATTAAATACTGGTTGTACATTTGAATGTGTGCAAAAAAATCATATTATAATAAAAGCGTAGAGTAATGATTGTAAACTTAAATGGATATTCCTGCAAAGATGTAAACTATCATTCATTCTTATTTTGGAGGTAGTTTGAGAAATTTTGTCGTGGTTTATGTTGTAATGGTAATTTCTGTAATCAGCTCCTCTAGGTTTCCCATGTCTCCCCGCCCGGATTCAGTGCATAGTACAACTTCAAGCAGTGACTCACATGACAGTGAAGAGAATTATGTACCCATGAACCCAAACCTATCCGGCGAAGACTCAGTATGTAAAGTTTTCCTCTTCCGTCTTCTTCGAGTCTCTTGGTCTTATCCTTACAGCTTTCTTTATGCTTAAGGAAAAAGGATAAAACGCAACTTTTGAAGTGCTTTTTAAAAATAGTATGTAAAGCCTAAAACCAATAGAGGGTCAGAGTGTAATATCAATACCTTACAAGTAGATATAAAATTAGTTAAAAGTCATAAAAGGTTTCCACTTACAGTTTTTTTAAGATGTACTTGATTTTTGAAACTATCCAGGAAAGGACCTTGTATTGGATGCTGCCTATTCATTGATACAAAGACACAGAGTCAGGTGTTCTGAAGTGAGCCATCACTTAATGTGACGCCTGAAATTCGAATGGCAATACATCAGTACTAAAGACAAATATTGTTATATAACAATAACAAAGACATGTTCATTAATTTTATGTATTTTTAAAAGAACTTTAAAAAAACAAAGCACTACTGTTGTTTTTATTTTATTTTTATAATTCACTAAACATTCATAACATCTCCTGGAATCTTAAGGTTTTTCTACCCTGTTTTGGAGAAACACAGGATGAAAGGCTGGAACACGCTGACAGGCTGTTCCCACTGAGATTAGATCGAGGGCACATAGACTTCCCTGTGGGGACGTGAATTTTAACAATACTTCAAGATGAAAAAATTTCGAGTTCCGGTAATAATTAGAAAACAATTTAACTAGCAATTCTGAGAAATTCTCTTTGGGAACAACTTATTGAGATGAAATATGTACATCATATGAACTCATGGGTTCCTTTGAATTCTAAGTGTTTCCAGTTAGGGAACTTCTTGGTATGGGTTTTCATTGGTCACATTTAACTACAAAAATTTCTCTCTCTCTCTCTCTCTCTCTCTCTCTCTCACACACACACTCCTGCTTAATTTTTTTATGTGATAATGAAATATCAAGCCATTTAGAGGGGGAAAAAACAGTCTCTATGAATTAGAATAAAAGGCAGGGAGAAAATGGCTATTTGTACTAATTAAATATCAAAACTTGCTTATTTTCTTGTTCCCTGCATGGTATTGTCAATATTTTGCAGTGTTTTTTTAGAAGTAGTTGATAAATTAGGCTTAAAAATCTGTTCCTGCAAATCGAGCCATCACATTCAGTTGGGCAGATTGGGTACTGCTTAGACGTCCTGCGTACAGTGTGCCGTGTGCACAGGACACCGCCTTCCTGAGAGCGTGCGGTCCAGCCCTTGTCCCATCCACCAGACTGTGGGCCCACGCACAGAGCGCTGTCGCCCCAGACAAAGAACACCTGTTTCTAATTCCCAGAAACATTGTGCACGGGCTCTCCACAGCCCTGCTTACACGTGAGGGAATACACTGTATTTTTCTAGCAATTGCCTTTGCCCTGAATCCCAGCTTACTCTGTTTAACCTGAGTAAAAATTGCAGCTCGCCATCTTCCTCTCTTCTTTATCTTTTTTTTAGAGCCTAGTCAAGGCCAATAGGAGACAGGGGAAATGAAGTGGTAAAAATTCCAAATGGTTGAAATAACATGGACTTTGCCAGTAAGGCCGTCATTCATAGCCTTTAGTTAACATCCTTATTTTAAACCAATTTCAGTGTGAAAGACTTTAGATACAGCACTTTTTAAAAATTTTAATTTGAACGCAAGGAGTATAAGGATCCTGAAGTTTACAAATATCATTGTAATAAGGTTCAGCTTGGACTTTCATAAGTAATGGTAGTTTTGGCATTCCAGTCTGGGTTTGAACCAAGTTTGACTTTTTTAAAAATTGATTTTTTAGACAGGAAGAGAGTGAGAGGGAAAAAGAGAGAGGAACATTTATTTTTGTTGTTCCACTTTACTTATGCATTCATTGGTTGATTCCCGTCTGTTCCCTGACTGGGGATCGAACCCACAACCCTAGCATATCACAACAACACCCTAACCAACAAGCTACCCAGCCAGGGCCCAAGACTGACTTTTGAAACTACTTTTAGCTTATTCTAAGCTAAGTTTTAGTTTTTTAAACATTGCTTACTTACCCCAACCATAAAAGTTGTTTAATTTCTAAGCAGACTTTATCAAGCTGTGGCCTCTTGAAATAAACATTTAGGCTTTAGTAGATAAAAAGCAAAGTAAGCAATGTGTCTCTGAATGTTTGGTGGTTGATTTTGTTGTGTTATTCTTTCAGAATCTTTTTGGGAGTAACAGTCTGGATGGGGGGAGCAGCCCTATGATCAAGCCCAAAGGAGACAAACAGGTGGAATACCTCGATCTAGATTTAGATTCCGGGAAATCCACACCACCACGTAAAGTAAGTGAAACCTCGTTCTATAAATACAGGGTGGGGCAAAAGTAGATTTACAGATGTGAGTGCATGAAACACTCAGTTTACTCCAATATTATTATTTATTAATTATTGTATTATTTTCCATGTGACTACTTGTAAACCTACTTTTGCCCCACCCTGTACAGTTAGATCATGTTTTAAATCTAAAGAATCATATCCTTTGGGGGAATTTTATTGGTATGTTTAATTTAAATTTAGTAAAATCTGTTACCTAATGCTGCTTCATAAATCACAAGTAACAGAATTACAGAGACTAATAAATTACTTTTTTCCTTTCTAATGAGTGGGAAGTTATACACTTTCTACTCTTTTAGTGATTACCATTGAAATGCTTACTTAACACATTCTAAAGGTAATCAGCTTTGCCTTCTTTCCATTGTTAGCTCAAATTACTTCCCTTCTTTCTTTTGTGCTATTTTTGCCCAAAATTTCAGTTTTTTAATTTTGTTAAGCCCACAAATTAGACAGTAGTAGTAGTATTATATAGACAATGTTTCTTTACATTTTCCAGCATGTTTACCAACAACTTTTTTTACTATTCCTTTTTGTACCATCGACCTTCCTTCTCTAACCACTTTCCTTTTGTGGAGGTGTGTTAGTGGTAAATTCTTGCAGTTTTTGTTTAACTAAAGTGTCTTTATTTTGCCTTCTGTCTTGAAAAAGTTTTTTTGCTTTTGAGTTCACAATTCTTGATTGACAATAAATTTCTCTCAACAAATAGAAGATACTGTTCACTATTCTCTGGCTTCCATTGTACCTGTTGAAAAGTACGCTGTTGATCTACCTGCAGCTTTGTTGTAAGCAGTCTGTGCTTTCTTTCTGGCTGCTGGTATGCTCTTTTCTGTGTCCTAGGGGTTCTTCAGGTTTGCTACAATGTGTCTAGACACCTAGATGTAGATTTCTTTTTATTTATCCTGCTTGGCAGAACTGTCTTTATTTCGGTATTTTTTATCAGGTCTGAAAAAGTTTCAGCCATTATCTCTCTAAATATTGTTTTCCCATCATTTTTTTTACACTCTCCTTTGAGGTTTGTACAATTTTTAATTATTTTATTTTTTGTTTCTAAAATAAAGTTCTGCTTGGGTTTTCTTTTTCCCCCCCAGATATGCTTAGCTGACTTGAATAGCCTCTCATTCCTTTCTTCTTTTATTTGTTTTATTTAGTTTTATTTTAAAATTCCTTTAAGCATTTTATACATATATATTTTATATTCTTTATGCAATAACTTCTATATCTGAAATCCTTGGAGGTCTGAATCTGTTCTTATTATATTTGCTAACTCACACTCTTGATGGCTTTTTTCTTTGTGTGTTTCATACATTTTTATGGTGAATTCATTTCGCTGAGGCTCTCTGTGGGACTCCTGCATTGGTTTCTGCCAGGAAGCAGTTGGTGCTGCCATGTTAGGACCATGTCAGTTCCGTTCAAGGGTCCCTAGCTACACAGGGTAGTTTTGGTTTCCCTCGCATCTTGGCTGTTTTCTTTATTTTCTAGCAAGGCTAGCAATGCACCAGTGATTATTTTTGTTCTACGTTAACTCTGAAAGTAAGCACCAACACATGCTCCCAGAACTTGAAAAAGTTAAGCTTAAGCTAAAGGCTAAAGAGAGAATAAAGTTGTGTACCTTAAGATGAACCGGGTGTCTGCTGACTCTACTCCATAAAACTTTTGTCTGTGAGGGGGAGCATCAGTTTGAATTCTTATTACAAGTAATAATTTTAATTGAAGGAAAAACAGCGTACAGTTAGGAGAGAGACAACACTGTTAAATTGAGGTAATATTATCTTTTTGGTGATCAAGTAGAATTTCGAGAGTTCTTCATTGTGCACGCATATCTGTGTTTTAAGACTAAATTTTCTTTTCATTAGCTTGCTTTTTTTTTGCTTTTTTCTTCTTTTTAGCAAAAGAGCAGTGGCTCAGGAAGCAGTGTAGCAGATGAGAGAGTGGATTATGTTGTGGTTGACCAACAGAAGACCCTGGCTCTAAAGAGCACCCGGGAAGCCTGGACAGATGGGAGACAGTCCACAGAATCTGAAACACCAACCAAGAGTGTGAAATGAAAATATTGCTCTGATGTGTCTGAACAGAAGAGAACTGAATTGGAAAGATAAATCCTGTTTGAAGATGACTTGACACTTCTACTCTAGGCCGACCCTCAGCTGAGTAGAGTCGAAGTCCGAGGACCTTGCAGACGTAATCAAGTAATTGAGACTGTCAATGGTGCTTTGTGGTATCTGAACAATTCATAATGTGGAGATTATGTGGGAAAATAGGATTGTTTAGCTTCCAGAAAAAAAATTGGTTCCGTAGTTAACACACTTGTAGTATTACTGTATTTATGCACTTTTTCATTTAAAACATTGGTTGGGGTATTCCCAAATGTACCTTAACATAATTCCTTTGGGAGTTTTTGTTTTTCTTCACACTACTCTGTATAACAATACTAAGTTAACTAAGCTACTTTTCTATTTGGAGATTGCTCTTTAAACTTCAGTGTGTGTAACATTGAGACGAGAAGTAGATTCACAATTCACCATTCCACCCGAAACTTCGGGTGGTAGTCATTAAACTACAGACATTGAAATCGTCACATTGCCTTCTACAATGCTAAGGGTAGTATACATACTGGTATTTGGACCTAGTTCTCTGGTTCATGTTAGTCCTCAGTGGTAGAACTTTACTATATTTTGTTAATGACAGTGTTCTTAGTTCATTGGGTGACATTGAGTGAAGATTCTGCCGGGTGGGATCTTGTACCTTGGGAAGACTGAATAATTACACTACCAAGTAAGCCTACAAATCACTGATGGCAGGAGGTGATGATGTGCTCTTACAATTGTTAACTTGTATTAAACTTTATTTGCAAAACGTAGTTTATGTAACGAATCAGGTACGTACCAGGCACTGATGTGCTAATACACTGATCAGGTTTAGACCGCTTTTGTTGTGTTCTTGTTAGTCCTATGTTTGGTTTCCAATTTGGAATTAATGAAACAGTTGACATTCACTGTTAGTTATAGCAACATACTGTGATTTTTTAATTGGACAATAATTCAGATTTATTACTCTTAAGAATGGAATTCTGTCTTTTGACACCTTAGTGCCCTTTCTATGATTTTTCTTACCTTTACTTAATATTCTTCTTGGCCTTATATTTAAATCCCTATGCAATTAATATTTTATACCTGCATTTTTTTAAAAATAGATGTTATGTAAGTGATTCTCATATGTAGCACCTATTGCTTTTCCAGTAAAAAAAAAAAAAATAAGTATTTTGTACTGTGATTTATAGTCACTGTCCCAATTGAGGAAATATGGGAGCCTTGCTCAAATGTGAAATCTATAGTCATGGACCTCTTTCAAGCAGACCCTGAAACCCCCAGAGGAGTCGTATAGTTCCGTCTCACTTGTAACACAGCTCTGTGACATGGGCATCAAGACCACCAATTACAGTGAGGCTACAATTACATCATCTGTCTCGGCTTTGCTAAGTAACTTAGGAAGCAGATCGAGTTGTTTGTTTTTTAACTAAGTGACATACAATCTCTTAAGTGTTGATTTCGAGACCTACTAACAGTTTTTAAAGGGGGCACTGAGATAGGAGTGCCCACAGAGCTGAGGCGTGACTCCGCCAGCCCAGACCTCTGCCCTCGGACGCAGGCGTGCCCGTGTCTCGGGCCTCTCAGCACCAGCGCTGTGCCGGACCAATGTAACGGTTCACTTCCCCGAGCCACAGACTAAAAATGTTCCTAACGAGAAGAATTATAGACTAGTAACATTTGATGCTTTTAAATGTTTGCTTCTTTTTAAACAAAAACTAAAACACAGAAGTGAATTTTGAGTTGGATTTTTAACTAAAAAGATTGTTTGAGTTTAGCGTGCACAAGCTGTTTTGTATTGAAACCACAAAATAAAATCTGCAGTCACTGAAGTGTCCCTGAACCTTCAGAACACACAACACAGTTGATGTGTATTGATACGAAATTGTGCTGCATGGAGGAGGACCATATTTTGAGATTAAAACACAACAATAAATGTATTAATTTCAAAATAGAAATCTTGTTTAAAGCTGCCTATCAGAAGAGTGTAAGACAGTTATGAAGTCTTTAGTGTGATTTCTTCTTTGTTACAAGTTACCATTTCTGAAGATCTTCAACACTCTAATTTGTAGTATTCTCATTATACAGCAGACTTTAAGAATTGAAATGTTGTAGGCAGCTTGTTTCAGACATTAAACATTGAATTAACAAATTAAATTAAAGGACAGTTTCTTATAGAGCGCTATTTTCCAAACAGTTTTTAGCACTGGAATCTTTTTAAAATAAAATTGTATGTGACCCCAATACATAACACCTGAAAAGCTTATTTATCAGTATAAGTGTATTTTAAGTTCACATTTATGTTCACTTATTTTGGTCCATGACTAAGCATATTTCTGAATAACACAAATATGAAATTGGGGTTGTCAATAGTTGGTGCAAAACTTCAGCAGCCAATTTATTTCTATACCTTGTTTTATTTGCATACTGTCAAGAAAATTTTGATTCATGCAAACAGAAGTAAGTGCAAGTAATAACAGGTTATAAACACACATCTCAGGAGGTTCTTGAAGCTGGATTCCAGGGTTGATACCAAAATACATTATCTTGGTAGTGAAAGTTAATACATTAGCAGTATCCAGTATGGTAAAATTGGGGTAACAGATCAGAATGTGTGTTTTTATTAATTTTTAAAATACGTACTTATAAAAACAAATTTGAGTCAAACCTTCTTAATACCCCTGTCACCTCCGGGAATCCGAGTCTTGGCCAGGCCTGGGTTGAAAACCCCTAGTTTAATCACGTGACAGTTGTAAGTCAGAAGTCTCTTTTCCTCCCACGTTTTAGTGTCTCTACCTTTTATTCCTTATTTTGAAAAACTGTAAAATTTCATGAAGGTTTGAATACCAAAGCACAGTTCTGTTGTCAAAATTCAAACTTGAACAATATAAGCTATTTAACCCATGGAGGGTGTCATTTAGTAAGCTATAAAAGATGGTTTTTATCTACATTCTAGTTTATACATTTTCCTTTTTATTTCTATCAGTATCATATAAGCTACTGTGAGCATTTTAGAGAATCCTTAAGGGTACTATGAGTGTGTGTGTGTGTGTGTGTGTGTGTGTAGCATTGTATGTAATCATTGACTAAATTCACTTTGATATAGAAATACCGCTATAGTTGTACATTACGGTCATAAGTCAGAATTTGTTCTGGACTCTGTATTTAGGGGTGGGTCACAGTCTTCATAAGAGCATTTAAACTGGACATTGAACACTAGTGTTTATTTTTCTTTTTCTGCTAGTGGGAAGTTGCCTGCTTTCCCATTTAGTGAAATCTGTACTACTTTATATTTTGTTAAAAAGTTTAAATGCTCCCAAACGCTCTTAGTTCATCTTTATGTGTCCCTTTAAAAATACTGGTATTATTGTTTTGGATAAATACCAAGTCTTCAGAATTTTGGAAACTGCAGGGCGGGCCCCTCCTCCCTGCCCCCGTTCTCTTCAGGTCGTTCTGGCAGGTCTTATCCTCCACTGTGGGATTGGCAATCAGGTCTGTGGCAGAGACTGCATGTGACCAAACCAAGTGGATGCACAGAGTCATATATCCCAGGATCAGGATTATTGTCAATAACACCTGATATGTGTAAACCTGCATATAATTTAAAATACTGAAAACTATGAGATGAAAAATCATGGTATAAATGAATATGGTAGACATCATAGATCTGATAGGATGAAAAATCAATTGTCAGGTTGTGGAGATCATTGTTTTTTTAGTCTGACTAAATGTATTTATGTATTACTACAACTTTAAATAATTGAGGTTGCTTTCTCTTCAACGGACTAATCTTTCTTTAGGTTCAGTATAATGTCTCTTACGAGTTTTAACAAACTGTTTAGTCAAGGGCCTAACGTAGCTTCTGCTTCCTTTATGCCAAAAGACACGACTTTATGTGAGTTCTTGTAAACTTAATCAATTGTTGATGATCATCCCAAATTTCAGAAGCAAAATCTTATGTGTAAATTTATTCCTCCCTTCTCGCACATCTTCTTTTGTAAAGATCCAATTGTAGATATTTTCTGCTACCAAATAAAACTTTTCAAGCAATTTGGTTTCAAGACCTTAAATAATTCATACGGATACAGAGATTGTAAACCAATAAGAACATACAAATTTGTATTTTTGACCTTTCCTTAGAGTCGTTATCTAAATCAAAAATCCAGTTCTGCCATGAACTATGTTTTCCAGTCCTACTTCTATAAGATCACTCATTTTCTGTAACAAAGATCTCATTAATCCTGATAAAATACAGTGCTCAACCCTCTAAATAAGAATAAGCTTCCAAGACTGTTGTCACCTGCATATGTCCTTGGTTTTTCTTCCTGTAGCCAGTGCTACCAGTCTTCTGTTGAACAGAAGGCTAATAATGATCTACGTGCAACCTTTACCATCAGAAAATAGGTTTTATGCATAAAACATGAGTTGAGCTTTCTTGTTTCTATGAGAGTTTTCAAACATCTGTAGTATTTCAACGCCCCCCCCGCCCCCCCAAATCACTCTCAGTCAGTCCTCTGGCCACTCAGCCCAGCCTTTTGTAGCTCCAACTCTCACTACCCCCTGTTTCGGAAGTTTGGGGTGGGTGAGGTTATCTTCTTTGAGAGTTTTCTCTGTCTTTCTGTCACCTTGTAAATGGTGAAACTTCTGGATATTTGCATGTAATTTCTTTGGGACAAGAATCTTTCTCTAATAAACACTTTTGGAATTGCAGTTTTGTTAGAGTTTTACAGAGAATAACTTCACAATTTTGTGAATGTGTTATTGTGTATTTAAAAGCTGAGTCAGTGGTGGGAGGCATTTTATTAACAGTTATGATGGGTAACATTCTTCCCTTAGTCCCTATTTTAAGGTTACAAAAAATATATATTTTCTTAATAAATGAACACCTATAGAAAGTTAAGTTTCTAAGATGTGTTTCTATATACTTCATTGGACAGAATTTTATTACTAATTGCTATGTTGATGATTAACTCTCAGCATAATGTGTATCTGATCTTGTGGTGAGTTGTGCTCAGAATATTTTGAAAGCTCAGAAAAGGAAAAAAAGAAATCAAATCTCTCAAAATAACCCACTTCCTCAAATACGGTATTGTGATTGTTAATGTATCTGTCAACATGGCCAGGCCGTGGTGCCTGTATTTGTTCAAACGCTGGTGTAGAAGTTGCTTTGGGGATAGCTGTAGGTGTGATTAACATATACAGTTAATTGACTTTAAGTAGAGCAGATCACCCTCCATAATATAGACAGGGCTCATCCAATAAGTTGAAGACCTTAGAGCAAAAACAGGTTTCCCACAGAAGAATTCTGCCTCTAAGGTGGTAACACAGAATCCTTGAATCTCCAGCCTGCTGACCTGCCCTATGAAGTTCAGACTCGCTGGTCCTTACAGTGTGTGACCCAGTTCTCTAAAATCGGATGGATGGATGGATGGGTGGATGGGTGGATGGGTGGGTGGGTAGGTGGATCAATCCTAATGATCTGTTTCTCTGGAGAACCCTGACCAGGTATTAATTAATTAATCTGAGTGCCACTTACACATGTACGAAGCAATGGTTTTAAGGCTTAATTTGAAATAAGTTGGCAGTCTCTGCCCCCAATTTTTTCTCTTTTAAAATGAAGGTGTTGGTGAATTTCTGAAGCTATGTACCAACAGTGAAACATGTTACTGCTTCTGGAATCCGTAACAGTTTGTCTTTCAGGAACCATTAAAATAGCATCTTCCGTGAGGGAAACAGTATGCTAAGAGGGACAGAAAGCTAATTGGATTCTTGCTGTGTCGGGCACAACATTCTATTAAGAAGAAAATTTCATTTACTGCCACTTGGGTTGTGTCATTTAATTATCCCTGCTTTAAATTTCCCTTTCATATGTAAAACACACGTCCTATATACCACTGAAAGTATTTTGTATTCAACTTTGTAAAAGCAATGAGGCTGGAGGTTACTTATTTCAAAGCTTAGACAAAGCAATAATTTTAGAATTCAGACCAAGGAGAAAGTACTGTTGTCTCAGATTTTTATCCTAGTGGATGATGGCCTATTAAAAATTTAACCATTTCATGAGAGTAGCTGCTACACATGTACATGTAGCATCATGCTAGGTGCTACGGGACACCCTGAAAAGCCTACATCATTTTTATCTTTACAATAATATGTGTGAAATAATAACAAATGATATGGGACAGTAAGTAAATGATTCTGTACCAACAATGAGCTACCCAAAGAAAGACTGTCAAAGTAGCAGAGTCAAGGAACACTTCATAAATACTAATGGGTAGTTACAAAGCAGCCGCAGGGATGTAAAGCACAGCATAAGGAATATAGTCAATAATCTTGGCCCAACTATGTTTGGTGCCAGGTGGGTGCTGGCAATATCGGAGGAGCGGGGGGACACTTTGTAAAGTGTATGATTATATAACCAATATGCTGTACAGCTGA